CCACGAATAATCATTTCTTTTTGACGTCCTACAAAATAAAGATAACCATCTTCATCCATTGTTGCTTGATCTCCTGTTCGAAGCCAGCCTGATGGTGTTATTGTTTCTTGTGTTTTATCTGGATCACCATAATATCCAGCCATAACTGGATAATATCTTGCCCAAATTTCACCTTGTTGTCCAATAGGTACCACATTTCCGTCACGATCCGCAATTTTGATTTCTATACGTTGCATACATCGTCCAATTGATCCCACTCGGCGTTTTGAATCACCATCACCAGCCCATAGACCACTTGTAATTAATCCAGAACTTTCTGTCAATCCATAAGTTTGCGCAATACGTTCTATTGGAATTTCTTTTTCTAGTTGACGTAAAAATCCATAATACATAGGACTTGCAGCGATCACACCAAGCTTTAATGAAGTGAGATCATATTTCTTTCGATCTGGATGTGATAAAATATCTCGAAAGATAATTGGTGCACCAATGAGTGCTGTACATTTTTCGTCATGAATAGCTTGCATTGTCGCAACTGGATCAGGTAAAATAGCTGGAAAGACAACTTTACATTTTGCTAAAGCAGTATTAAGTTTACCACCAACTTCTCCAAGCATATGAAACAATGGAATAGGAACACAAATACAAGTAAAATAAGGTCCGAAATGTTCCCATTGAGCTTGAGCCATATTGATCAATGAAAAATGTGTTACTGTTGCTGCTTTAGGTTGACCTGTTGTACCTGATGTATAAAATATAGCAGCAGGTGAATCAGGATTAACAGATATTTGTCGCTCATGTAATTTACTATGATGAGATATTTTTTTACCATGTTCAATTAGATCATTATATGAATGGAATCCAGATATGGACAATGATTTACCAGTTAGAATAACATGTTTTAACGTTGGTAAATTTTTCGAAAAAAGTTCTCGAGATGTTGAATATTGATCAAGTTCTGGTACAAGTCGACGAAGTATTGATAATGATTCGATAGACTTGATTGATGGTGAGAGAACAATACCTTTACATCCAACTTTGTTTATACAATATTCAAGTTCACGTTCAACATACGCTGGATTGATATTAACCTACGATAGTAATCATGAAGCCTTTTGTAAAATAAAGTAAAGATTTACTTTAATAAGACCTATTTTCGATGCAGCAAATGCCACTACAACATTTTCTGATGTGTTTGGCAACCAAACAGCAAGCCGATCATTTTTTTCAAATCCTAATTCAATAAGTACTGCAGCTAAACTATCAATTTCATCTTGGAATGATTTAAATGTATATCTTTTGCCTTCATCTAAAATTTGTCACATATGAATGCTGTTTTCAAAAATATTCAATTGAAATCAACATACTTTTAAAATAAAAACATTCATGATCTTGATATTTAGCAGCAATTTCATCAAAACTTTGACTTACTGTTTTATAAATAAATGGAAGTGATGAAGCATGATAATAGTAACTTGAAGTTAATTTGTTTGATGATGATGTTGTTGTTGTTGAATTATTTCGCTGTTTCAGTTGACGAAAAAGCCAATACATTTGTGAACGTGAAATGAAGTATTTCATGCTATTGATCAACATTCTAATCAATAATAATAACAAAAGCTGTTACAAAGTCAAATTCAATGTTTCTATTGATAAATCAGAATAATTTATTATTTATATATAAAGCTTTTTTTTTGTAGTATCTATTTCTGTAGATATATTGATTCTGAGTGTGTTTTTAAGCTCATCTAAAGATTCAAAAGAATACATAGAAACAGTGTTTCTAATGGAAACTTAAAATATAATGTAAAATGTACATCTACACTTGTTGTAACAAGCAAAAGAAAAAGGTATTAATAATATGCTAATACAGTGCAAACAAACAAGCAACTGGTATCTGATTCTTTTCTGAAGACTCACTATACAATATTATAACATTAGAAGAGTACGTAAATATGAGAACTTCGATTTACTATTTGCGAAATTTTGAAATAATTACCATCTATCACAGTGCTACCACCTTTTGAAGTCCGAAAAGCAGAAAGTAACAGAAGTTTTATCATCGAAAAGCAGAAAGTATGTTTATAATATGAAACTAACGGGTAGCTCGTAATAAAAGACGGTCTCAGTGTTCTGTTGACATCTTAAGCGTTATCTTATCGTTCACGCTTTATTTTTTTATCAAAAGATTCACCGTCTATTTCTGCACAAATTGCACATTTTATTGTAAAAATACTAATTTCTTTCTCTTTCGACATCACCACGATTTAAAAATAGCACTACACACAACTTTTAAAATCTCTATTTTTTCAATTTTTTCCGAAAACTTCCAATCCTTAGATTAGTCTTATCATCATTGGCCGTGCCATATTCTTTATCCAGAAATAAAATAAATTGCCTTTGGTACGTTGATTAAAATGAACCAATTTATATCTTGAGTGGCGAACAAATTATACCCAAAATAACAGGATTAATTGAGAAACTGGACATTTTGGAAAAAAAAATTGAAAAAAATGAAGACTTTCAAAGTTGTGTGTAATGCTTGTTGTAAATCATGATGATGTTGAAAGAGAGATAAGTATTTTTTACAGCGAAATATACCAATTTCTGCAGAATCAGACGGTGAATCTTTCGATAAAAAATAAAGCATGAATGATAAGATAATGCTTAAGATATTAACAAAATACTGAGACCCTCTTTTATTAAGAGCTACCCGTTAGTTTTATATTTTAGTTTCAATATACTAATCATTTGCATTGTATGGCATCACAAAACGCAACTAATTAACAAATAAACAGCATCATTGAATACGTTTTCTTTTTAAGAAGTATTCTTCATCTGATTTAAGAGCTTTTGACAAATGTTTTTTGCCTAATAAATATTTATTCATTACAATATATGATAAGGAGAAATTCAAAATAATTGTTGATGAAATCATAGTATTTAAAATTTTTTTTGTTTTTTATTGTTCAGAGGATTATCAATATTAGCTTTTTATTAGCAATGTTCGGAAAACTGTTGATGACGAACGATAAATGTTAGTTGACATGAATCAAATTTATATTCTTTTAAAGATCATTAATATTCGACGGCTTTGAACCATTTTCTGTTGAAGACAGTGATGCAGCCAGAAATTTTTTTTGGAGGGGAACCGTAATAGAAAAAAGGCATTTTTTGTCTAGCAAAAACAAATTAGCCTGTACTCCCCTCCAGGCATTTCGGTCTTCCGGGGGGGGGGGGGGGGACCAATCCCCATAATCCCCCCTCTGGCTGCGTCACTGGTTGAAGATAATACTTTTATTGTCAATTAGGTGGAACCATGAATCGATAAAAATTATCGAACATTAACCATTGTAAAACATACAGCTATAGTTGGTATTTTATTTGGAATTTCGATTCTCTTTCGTATCTTTAGAAAGTATCTTGAGATTTCAGTCACGAATGATTAGCAGTATTTCATATGACTCTATCATATGCGACTATTTTTAGGCTTGCTACTTACATGTTGTTATTATTTTGAGCTAGAATCAACGATTTTTAATTGATGTCAATCTTAACTTGATTACTATTTTCTTTTGAGGCATGAAATTTGATTCAAGTACAGTAAAATTTATTGAAAGTTTATTAAACTATTTATCCAACGTCGTTTATTTAGAATCTGAAATAAGCCCGCACCGACATCTACATCCCCACTCCACCCTTCCACTCGGCTAAGAGTCACCTCATACTACTTTACATGTCTTATTTTGTCTTTACAAAAGATAATGATTGTAGGTACAATTTTGATTGCTACATCCATTCAATCTTGCAAGAGTAAAACTACATCTGATCAGTAGTAACCATTTAACATAATTGTCCATGCATCATTTTTAAGCTTTTCTTAATTTTTCGTACTAAATACACAAGTTTGACTAAAGCAATAACCAAGGACTCAGCCTAATACCCTCTAATGAATACGAAAATACATTTCAAAATTGGATTGAACCTATTGCTGAGTGTTGTGGTGATTCCTTCTAACATTTGCTGTAGGGAGAGAGGCATCGAATACCTTTCTATTGAACAATTTGTTCCGAGTGACAGAACCTTTTGAATGCCTTAAGTCACTATCCACAGTGACATGAAAAAACAGATTTTTTTCAATACAAGCTGTATTTTCTAAACTAAAACAAAAAAATTGCACACACTACATTTTCTTTTATGTCTAATTCCATTTAGCACCATCTACAGGCACATGATTTAACTCTTCTATACCATTACTCATATCTACCCAACAAAAATCATTATTTGAAATAACGAAATAAATTTGAAATTGTTTTAGTATTGATTGGTTTTCTAACAGTCGATCAATAAATTGACACAAATTACGATGACTGCACCATATTGACTTAACAGACCAATCATATAGATCAGATGTTATATCATCAGTTGTATTTATCCAACCAAATCGTGCACAAACAAATTTAACATCGATTCCATCAGTTGATGAGTATTGTCTAGCTAATTCTTCGCCATATATTTTACTATTAGAATATGCTTCGAAAGATGGATTTAAGTGTGATGGTATCGGAGGATCGTTGATTGTTATCTTTTTTAGCGATTGTTTTGGTTGAATGTTTTTGGCTAATGATGAATAAGGTTCATTTTCTAAATAGCCAAAAACAGTCCTGATTGAACTACCATAAATAATCATTTCAACATGTTTATGCATTGTTGCTACATCAAATAAAATGCTAGTACCATCACAATTAACATAATTAATATTTTCAACTGTATCTGTTTCTAAAACTGCCGCTAAATGAATAATAATATTAATTTGATTATCTTCTATAATACGCGAAAGTTGATTTTTATCAGTGATATCACATATATAAAATTTTTCTTTTGATGGCAATATTGGTTGTTGTCCTTCGGATTTTAATATATTCTCAAGCTTATAACGTATCGATAATTCAATATGTTTATCGATACCATAAATATCATAATTGGGATTTTTTGCTAGATGTTTAATTAGTATACCACCAATGAGACCAGATGCACCAGAGATAAGAATCTTTTTAACCATCGCATATGTCAAATAAGAATACGAAAAAAATTATTATGAAGGATAGTACATGTATGTGCACCTCTCTCTTATCATCTGAGCATATTTATAGAGCATAGATAATAGGAGAAAACGGTAAGATGAAGTAGTGATAAAAGAATAAACATTTTTTTTTTTTGGTGGAGTTGGATATTGTTTCAATATTTGGAAGGCGCTAAACTCTGACTTAAGGATACCTTCCCCCCTCTCTTTCCGAAGGTGAAAATCAAAACTTTTTCAATCTTCTGTTTTTCATTGATACATACACTGTAAAATGTTCTCTATCCATTGGGTATGTTTTGAGAATTCGGATATTGCTCTAACATTAAAAACAACACGAAAAGATTTTACATTTTCTATTTAAAAACAGTAATTTTTTCTCAAAATCAATTTTTTTCGGAAAAAGTACTGTTGTGCCTCATGTCTCCGACATAGTAACAGATATCGAACTGAAACTTTTTTCACATATACTAGAGTCTATTTGGCGTGGGTATATTTTTTTATTTCAAAAAATGTTGCTCTGATGATTTTGGCAGCTTTTACAGAATTTGTTCTAATAAAAAATAAGCAGTTTTTTAAGGGTTTGTCGGGTATTTGGACGTTTTTATTCGCAAGATAAAAGATATAAGGAAATCAAGAAAAATACTCACCCCAAACAGTATCTAGTATATGTAAAAAAAATTTTCAGCACAATCGAACATAGTGTCTCTGAGAAAGGGAGCAAAAAGTGGACTCATTTTTACCTATTGTGACTCTATTAACTCATAGAAAACAACTTTCAAGAAGTTTGAGTCTATGACAACTTTTGCTCCACTCATCAAGACCTATTTAGCGCTAGGAATGCCCTATGTCAGTCTCAGCGAGAAAGATGACCCATGCCTTTCTTTGAATATTTGAATAGTTGAGTGGTGCGGGTGTTGGCATTCTCTTCTTTAACACCCACACCCCACACCCACACCCACACCCACACCCACACCCACACCTTTTTTTTTTGCTTTCATCTAACAACGAGAATTACAACAGAGAAGGTGAAACTTTTCTTTTTCTTTTTTATCGAGAAATACCATCAATAAAAATAAAGAACAGAAATAAATAGAGACGATGTTGAATTCATTTGAAAAAAAAGAAATAACGCAACAATTTCAGATCATAAACTATGGCTAAACTTACACCAAGTCAAGAACGTGAATTGCGTGATGCATTCGATCTTTTTGATAGCGGTATGTAAGATTATAATAAAAGCAAAAAATTATAAATGAATTTTAAAAAAAAATTTTTAGATCATTCAGGAAAAATTTCCAAAACAGAACTTAGACAAGTTTTAAAGGCATTAAATATAGCCGCTACTGATGCAGAATTACAAAAATTAATGGCACAAATGGACACTAATCGTAGTGGTGATATTGATTATAATGAATTTAAAAATGTTATGGCGAAATCATTTTTTAGAAAATATTCTAGAAAGGAATTATTAGATGCATTTAAAAACTTTGATACAGATGGTAATGGTTATATAACAACCAATGAGCTTGATAATATTTTATCACGTATGGGACGACATTTAACTCGACCTGAACTTGAATCAATGATTTCATCATTGGATACAAGTGGTGATGGAAAAGTTTCATTTGAAGAATTTTGTAGATTATTTGATTAAAAAGATTTTCTTTTTGTTTCTTTTTTAATTATAAATTTATGTTTTCTAGGTTTTTTTTATCTGCCTACTAATTGAATATGTTTCATTTGAATTATAATATAGAGGTGAACTATTGAAATTTGGCTAGTTATTCTTTTTTGTATGTTCTTGTTAAACTTCTTGTTGCAATAGAAATCTATGCGACTTCTAAAATATCCAAGTATTGAAAAATTTTAAAAGGGTAGGAGCATACTAATACAATTTTTACAAAAAATTACAGTAAATTTCAATTTCCATGGCAAATCTCGGCCTCTATATAAGCAAATTTCTTTAGATAACAAGATAATAAATTAATTAGTGTTCTTTTTCTTTATCCCATAGGAAATCATAGAAGAATAATTGAAGCGAAAATATGCAGATTGAGAAATGTATGGATGTGGATGTTGATTTTCTCTTCACTCACACCCACACCCTCAAGATATGTAGGTGACTAGAAGAAGAGAAGAGAAGAAAGAAAAGAAAGAATCGGGGACATTTGAATGATCATGCCAATGACTGCTAACATCATCCTACCCACAACCTACTCTAAAACCAGTCATCTTTATCATTGTCCCTCAGTTTATTATTTTGAGTCGTGCTAATATGCTCGACACTGTACATCAGGAGAAAGATAATCAATCATGAAATTTTTCCCAGATATCGAATGTCACCAAACTGTCTACTTTTTGCATTGTACTGGCTGATAAATTGACTCGCATCATCATCAAATTGATACATCTTTGCAAAGGATACGGCAATAGGTCAGTACAAATGTTTTTTATGTTTTCGCATAACACATACAATTTTGGATTTTTAAGTGTCTAGGCAAAATTAGGGACTGAACTCATATAAAATACAATCGGTGTTTTATATATTATTGAAAAACGAAAATCTTCAGAGTCCTGTATGCTTTCCAGGACTTTGAGAGTCAAAAAAGTGTTTTGCCTTTTGCGATATAGTTTTTCATACCAATTAGTAGAGGATCAGTCATCGATTCTAGCTTGATAAAAAGTTTCGTAGGAAGAAGATGAGTATCACAAAACTTCTGAACTGGTACATAGTTTGAAGTCAAAAGTTGACCTTTTTGAGATACAGATGTACCGATTGAATGAGGATGCGGGTCAATTTAGCAGCCAGTACAACATAAAATGTACAAGATTCAAGAGCAATGTAAGCCCTATAGGAAGAAGTTTTAGAAAGAACTTCGTAGAAATTGATAGACAAATCTACTGGGATCACAATCTTCACAAGTTCTCTAATGTCACGCAACCGGTATATGGACTCATAAACCGTCAAAATTTGTTGAAAATGTAATTTTTCAAAAACATCGCATTCGACTTAGTGCGAGCTACTTTTCAAAACCACATATTTAGCATTTCAATCCAAGAAGGTCGCCAAATTGCACAGAATCCTTTCGAAAAATCACAACATTACGAAAATTTAACAAACTAATGAAATTTCAAACCATGTTCCTGGAATTTTCTTTTTTAAAAATCTACCCATTGCTGATATTATATGTTAACTTTCCGTGTATACAAGCTTTGACTTACTCTGTGTGATATTTGGCATTTTTTTTCAAAATAAATGCACAACTGCACGGAATACTGATCGAGCAATCGGTTTCAAATTCTTCTTCTTCTTCTCCATATCGTCGGCACATTATACGGATTAATGAATCTGTTTGTGTTTATTGATGAGTATATAGCAAGCACGATAATGACTATTGACTATCCTAATAGAATTGATAATGAAATCAAGTCATTGATCTAATTTGGAGTCAAATAAAATAAGTGACGGGATGCATGTCAAATACAAATTGAATTTGTCAGTTGCTTGAGTAACTTTGAGACTATTCTCACCATAGTTATATTCAGGTGAATTATTCATTCAGATCTCACTTGAATCCGTTTAGAGAGGCTTAACATCGTGAAATCCATACGATATAATTGGAAAATAAACTGAACCGTTGAGTTTTGGCTACTATCAATGGACAGTTTTTGCAAGGAACCCTGGCCAATTATTTCAACCGCCGGAACCGTCCACAGACCTGTCAATTCCGTTCTCATTTCGGTTAGTTTGTTTATGTACTAACATATTCTTGGAGCTGAATTACGGTCATTTTCTGGACCGAATAATTCAGATCACTTTCCAACAAGATTCGATCGGAATACAGAGAAAACATGAAAAAAACCCTATTTGCGAAATTGTTGCCCGATGTCGATAGCAAGGAACACACTGGAACATAAAAGAATCGGTCAGACTAAACTGAGCAAGAATGACCTGGAAAATATCTATATTCAAAATTATCATCTTGGTCATAGATCTCGCGAAACCGCATGTTTGCTTGCAAGCAGTCTTTTTCTGCAAAACAAACATTTGAACTCATATTTGCACTTGCAGATCTTCATTCGAATGAAAACATGAATGCGAAGGATTCATTTTGATCGTTTTCATGCATTTTTTGCGGAATAATCATGTGGAAGAAGATGGCTATCTCAACAATAGTACATTGTTCCTACTATTTGTCTTTATTAATATCACTGTTTCTAAGACATTATTTGAACATATACCATCTTCATGGAACAATTCTTGAGCAAATATGACCGTAATAATAATGGATGAAACTATTTCCTCGTTTGTTTAAGACACTCTAACTCGTCAATGGAGAATCTATCGTGTCTGGAAACTTCAAGCAACGATTTAAAGTACAGTGAAGTACTGTCAATAGTTCTTGGATCCTAGGAAATAGTTTTTTTTGATGAGTTTTTTCTTCAATTTTTCACTGCAATCGTTCCAATTCATTATGTCCAAACTTGCAAAGACTCTGTCCATATTCATCGATTCCCATCCAGACGATTTCTCGACAACATGTTTAGAATTTTTTTTTTCTTACGAAAATCTTCCAAGCGGCAAAAGATTTACATTGAGGTTGAATTATTTTACTTAACTAACTATATGAATAAACGATCTGTAATCTTGAGCAAGGAAATCATTGCAGAAACATTAAATCCATTTGTCAGGCACCTGTCTACGATTCACAGATAAGAAAGGAGTATCATCGAGATAAATTTTGCGTTGTTGTATAGAAAATAAAATGATGTCATCTTGTTTTCAGATTGCATCAGCTGCATCGTCTCTTCTACTGACAATAAAAAGGCCAACGCTTGTCTTTATCGAGCAATCAAACAAAAGTAACAAACAATGACTCAAGCTTCGAATGAAACAAAAACTATTTTGATTATTGGTGGTGGACTAGGTGGTTTGGCTCTTGGTCAACTATTATTGCAAGATTCGCCTCCATCTCTGAAAGTAATTGTCTTCGAACGTGATGCCGAAAAAGATGCTCGTGATCAAGGCTATTATATTACAACTAATTCAATGGGTATTGATGCACTCAAACGTATTTCAGTTCTTAATGATGTTCTTTCGGATTCGACAACAATGTCCTACAGTCAATGTCAACTAAAATTCGCAGATAAAAAATTAAATACAACATTGACAATGATTGCAGGAGAATTGAAAATTATTGAACGAGCTGTTCTACGGCGAAATCTTCTAAAAAATATCGATGTTCATTGGAATAAACGATTTATCTCTTACAATATTGTTGATCATGGAATTGAAGCACATTTCGATGATGGATCATCGGTCAAAGGTACATTACTTGTCGGCTGTGATGGATCGAAATCAGTTGTTCGAGCTCAACTTGTGCCAAATCTATGTCGACAAGATACAGGTGTCGTTTTAGTAGCTGGTACTCTTGAGCCAAATGAACAATTAGGTCAAATTCAACAATTAATAGAGAATAGTCTTGTACAAGTACTTGGAGATCAGAGTCATGCATTGTTTTTAATTTCTGTCGGACAATATTGGTTTTGGTCTCTTTCATGAGCAACAGAACATACAATGAAATCGAGTCTTTCTCCAGAAGAATTACTTGATAAAGTTCGTACGAATTTCAATAATGAAGAAATTGTTCGTTTAATAGAATTGTCTTTATCATCGGCGAGTCTCATACCTTTACGTTTGTATTCGTCTCCACTTTTAAAAGTGAATCCATTTCCAAATAATCTTCGAGTGACACTGATTGGTGATGCTGCACATCTTATGACTATTCAACGTGGTATGGGTGCAAATACGACTTTTGCTGATGCACTCGATCTTGCTGATGTTATACGTCATGGTTCGACTCAAAATTTACTCAGTGATTACGAAGAAAAAATGTTTAAACGTGGCTTTCAAGCCGTTCAAGATTCTTTCAATAGTACTCGTATGATGCGTCTATCAGGTATTCATGGTATGATACGTGACTATCTTTTATGGTTAATTGGCTACATAATGGTATTTAAAAATATAATCTCGGTACCATTTAATTGGTACTGGACGAGAACCAATGACGTTTGAATTGTACTTGTTCATCATACACATCTAGACATCCCAAAGGAAACAATAACATCAGAAACATTTTTTTTAATCGATTGTAGCTATGAGAAAACAGTTCAGTCAGCGGAATAACTCATGAATCAAATTAGCCTTGTTATCTTATGCAGGGTATTCTACTCTATTCGATATAGTCCTACTTTTCAGAATGCAATAATAAGCAGATTTACACTCGATATTCGGAATACAAGTCCAGCATTTTAGGAACTGACGTTTATCTAAGCATACATCACGAATAAAAATCGAGTTGAATTTTGGTTTCATTGAATGATAGATGATTTGATAGTGTAATTCTCATTGATTAAGAATATGTACTTTTAATGTTTTTTCGATAAAAGTTTTCATGAAAAATACGAAGAGATGTCTAATGATATAAAAGCTCCAGATATGAACTGTGCACCATCATAATATTTTCTCAAGTCCAAAAGATTTGAATTCAGCATCGAATATTAAGTATCTACTTTTTTGACTCAACACACCAACTTTTCATTTGTATACCACGAGTTCTTGTCGTCTCCGATGCTGAGAAACCAAGTCTTTTCGCAATCGATCTCAGAATATCGAAGGATGCACTTGTATTTGAAGACATTGACCCTCAAAAAACGCATGCTTACATGTATTTTCCTTGCAAATGAATTTCTGAAAGTCAAAATCTTCAAATATGAGTGCATCCTTCGATATTCTGGTATAAATTGCGAACAAGCTTGATTTCTCAGTATCGGCGAGAAGTCGAATCGGTGGTATGTAAATCGAAACTTTATGCGTTGGGCCAAAAAAGTAGATACTTAATATTCAATACTGAATTCGAATTCTTTGGACTTGTGAAAATATTATGATGGATGGCGCACAGTTCAAATCTGGAGCTTTTGTATCATTAGTCACCTCGGCATAAAATGCATATATATTGTGAATCGATGAATTAGACTCTATCAAATCATCTATCATTCAACGAAATCAAAATTCAGCTCTATGTTTGCCGCTGTTGCATTCTGCATTCATCGGTACAATAGTATATCCGATGAAATGCTATCAGCTGTAACATGATCGAAAGTAGATGATGATGATCTCTCAATAGCAATGCACTTCTGCATTTGAATAAACCACATTACTAAAGTAGTATTGTCAATCGTCTTTTATGAGATCATTATTGCTATTACTCAACATTGACATCACTGGATTGTAATCATAGAATCTAGTTTCATCTAGTTGATAGATCAGTTTTGAAAGCAGAAAGAGATCACATAGGTTCAATTATAGATCATTAATTAAGTGGTAAAAAGTAGGAAGAGAATGTGCTCCATCTGAGAACAGTGACCCCTCACATACAAAACCCATTATCGTCAAATATCATTGTCAACAAGTTTATTTTTCTTCGTTCTGATCTTTTTCACCTACTTGGTCATACATCTGACACATCTCTCAGAGATTTATATGATATCTACATTTCACTGTATATAGATATATATATTATAGTTATCTATTACCTCGACCATTTTGCCTATTCTTTTGTTGAAAATGCGTGTTGTGGTGTTTGTCGCCGTTTTGATAGTGGAGTGTTGGTGTGATATAAGAGTGTCAGTAGATCGAGAACAAGGAGGATACAATGTAAGTGTTACCGATCATGTTTGGCTTCGCTCATCTTATACAAGTTTGTATGCCGATGAACGATGGTATTCATCTAATGATGGTTCACTTCCGCTCATCGATACACGTCTCGATCATGGCTATGATGAGAATTTAGGTGAATGGAATGAGACTCAATTGATCTATAGTCTTACTCGCAATGGGATACAGACTAATGTAACTGGTCGAGCACGTCAATGGAGTTCAATTTCAGCGATTACTTTTCATTTGGACATTGGCAATGAGTCTTTGACGAGCAGTGATTCTTTGAGCATGGACGAAGTTCGAACGGTATTTCCTTCGTTCAATATTGAACGGATAGATATGAATGGTCAACGAGGCTATTTCACATATGCAGGTAAGATATTGATTTGATTCTTTCGTGAATTACGTCAAAGAATGAATATCGATTAAGATTTTATGATGGGCGACATGGGTAAACATGCAGGTATCTGGAATTCTTCTAGTAAAATCATCCAATCAGGTATCAAAGCAGGTCCTATTGTTCTTTTCAATTTGACTGAACGAGCACAGGGTGATGTTCTCATTCTCTCACCTTTTTCTCGCTTTATGGCCACTTCACTAAGTCAACGAGCGAATGTCTTAGAATTTGGTGTGATGGGCTCCATGTCGGTAGTACCTTCTAATTATAATCATTCTATGATTGTCTTCTATTCATCTCATGGTGTCAACGAAGCAATGCGTGAATGGGGTCAGTCGATGCGACGAGCATTCAATCGAACCATGGAACATCGGCTTAATGATATAACCATCAATTATCTGGGCTACTATACAGACAATGGTGGTTACTATTACTATCATACGGAGACTGAAATGAATTATGAAGAGACAATAATATCGATTTCCCAAAAAATCTCATTACCATTTCGTTATATTCAAATTGACTCATGGTGGTATTATAAGGGCATCGGTGGTGGTGTTTCTGAGTGGTCATCTCGTCCAGATATCTTTCCTGATGGTCTTCCAGCAGTCCATCGCCAAATGAAATATATTCCTTTAGCAGCACATAATCGTTACTGGGCAGCAGATACGATCTATTCGAAAAATTACGCTTTTGTAATTGATCATGTTAATGGAAAGGCTCTACCGATTAGTAACGATTCATTTTGGATTGATCTGTTCGATGAAGCATCTCAGAATTGGGGTTTAATTCTATACGAACAAGATTGGTTGAATGTACAAACAATTGATTTCATACCGACACGTACTGATATTCATCTCGGACAACGATGGTTAACATCGATGGGTAAAGCAGCTGAACAAATAGGATTGAATATTCAATATTGCATGAGCTTACCTCGACATGCTCTACAGGCTCTTGAAATTCCACGCGTGACACAAGCACGTGTATCGAATGATTATGTTGTTCATCTTCGTCAACAAGACTCTCAATGGACAATTGGAGTGTCGAGCATGTTGGCCGATGCAATTGGTCTAGCTCCATATAAAGATGTTTTTTGGTCGAATTCAATTGAACCCGGAGCTCCGTACAAAGAACCGGTTATGGAACCAGTTCCTGATCGAGAAATACTCATTGCTACTCTCTCGACAGGACCGGTCGCTTCGGGGGATGCAATCAATTATACAGACGTCAAACGAATAATGCGATGCTGTAATGAAGATGGAACCATTTTGAAACCTGATCGACCAATAACTATGATCGATGCACTCGTTGCAGACTGGGCCCAAAACAACGGAGTCTCCCAAGGAGAACTCTATTCGACTCTATCAATGTTGTAAGTGTCTATCTCTCTTCTATATCTAATCTCTTCCTCCAAAATCTCTTTTGTCTAGAAATAATCAAACTTTTCATATTATCTTTGCCTCAGCCATGCGACGTGATTATTCAGTATTGCCTTCGATGATCGGAGCACAAGCAGGACTAATTTGGTTCTATGACGATCCGTCTACATTAACAACGTTTGATGAAACCTATCCTCTTGCTATATCAGCAAACAAATGTAATGATTCATCATTCTGTCTCTGGTATTTGTCACCTGTATGGAGTTTTGCCGATCCGAATAATACACAATATGCACTTCTGGGTGAATTGAATAAATGGACAGCTGTTAGTCGACAACGATTTTCTTCGTTAACGACCAATCCAGAAAGAACGACAACGACAATCACTCTTCTAGGAGGAACTATCGAGACAGTGACATTACTTGTCTATCACTCGAAATTAGGCGTCATTCGTTTGAATTGTTCTCTGTCGTGCGCTGAAGGAGAACTGATAATCACTCCATCCGCTGTCACTTGTTCTTCATAAATTTCACGAAAAGTCATTGGATACTTGTTCCATGTATTTTATTCTTAAAATAAAAGTACGATGTAGAGTGTGGGTGTATTAGTGTGGATGTGTGGGTGTGGGCGTGTGGGTGTGGAGTGTGGATGTGGTGTTGGGGTGGGTGCGGGTGTGGGTGTGGGTCTTAGATACGGGCTGGTTGTGGTTGTTGGTTTAGATATTCTTTTCACTCACGCCTACACCCCCATTTACAACTACACCCACACCCACACCCACATCCACACCCACACCCCACACACACCCACACCCACACACACCCATAATGCTGATTGATTAATATAGCCATATGTTTATTTTCTTCACCGAAGAAAATCAAAAGCTCCGATAGAGTAGGGTGTGGGTGTAGAGCAACAACAAACTGACACCAACACACCAACACACCTACACCTTACCCACACCTACACCTCACACCCCACACCCACCCACATCCACACCCATACCCTTTTTTCTTATAAGGTTCCCACAATTCTAAATTCAGGCAAAATTTTCTTTGTGCAATTTTTTTTATAGTTGAATATATGGTCGAATAAGTTTGAAAGATATTGCTATTGACAAATTCGAATAGGAGCTTTGTAATAAAAAAACAGGAAAATTAAGTTTAAAAAGCATCAAAAAAGCCTAGAAAAACTGGAATACGCCACACGAATCAAAGTCTCGCTCGGTTCGATATTAATCTAATTTTATCTCTACATTTCACTCATCATATGGTCACGAAAGATTTTATGTACGCTTTTTTGAAGAGTATTTTTTGATTATTGGGAAAATCGACGTTTTTGATATCATACGGATTCGTATTCAGAAAGTTTGGCTACGGAGAATTTTTGTTTCAAATGAAACTAATCTCATATTTACCAACAACTAAAACATCTGCATCGAATAGTATTCTAATACTTAAACCAAGTTTTTGTCAAATTTTGACCTTAGGAAAAGGGCATTAGTAATGTATGTTCTGACATACTCTGAGCCACTGCGAAACAAAAATTGCGATTAAAAGAAGTAAATACTTTTTTTCTTGTTCACTTTGAACAATTCTGAGTCACTCTAAATAAGTCTGAACTACCCTGAATCATTCCAAGTTTATGTGAATTGAGAAAATTCCTATATCTAGGAGCCATTTTAGCTAAATGAAGATTACCTTCAGCATAAGATTGCATAATGGATCTTGTCGATTTGGATAATATTTATAAAATAGATAGATACATTTGAGTTAGGAGTAAACTGGAACTTTCAGCTCGAAAGAATTAGACAACTCAGGAAATATCGATGTTGCAAGGTTAGCTACTGTGCCAAATTTGAAACATCTTTTTTTTGCTATAGTTTTTCAGTAAAGTTTCATGTTATAAATAACGATATGAGTTACAGAAGGGATTTTTTTACCATAGATACTATTAGTGATGAGGTATTGTTTCATACTAATGAAAGTACATTATCATCTAATATTTTTTTTGGTCCGATCTCATATGCTATTTTCAAAAATTATGATTTCGGTAATAACATAAATTAGTCAGAAACTTCGTATGTTGAAGTTTGGTATGAAGAAGTTTTTGGATAAGATCACAGACACCGAAAATTCCATACCATTTTAAACAAAGTAACATGAAATCTCTTCTCAAATGTTGTATTTTTGTATTTTAAATGAAAATTCACGGTATGAGAACTCTAAATCCGAAATTTCAACTCGTTTGAATATACGTGTGAAAAATGGCGAAAGACTCATTTTCTTATATCTTCATTGAAAGTATTCTTTTCGTTTAATTTTCCCCTATATATTTTTTTTTGAGAGAATATTCGTTGGTAACAAAACTCTTTAGTATGATTACTGTCTGTATTATGCAGACCTTAATAAACTGTCTAAAACAATGAAAGAGTTCTGAATGTTAATGTATTTTTTACCAACATATCACATTTTTCCAAATTCCTTTCTAGGATACAGACGTGATTCACCTTAGAAATATTAAAAAAAATCGAATTTCGAGATGAAAATTTGCACACATAAAGATCACAATAATAAAATTTTATGGTAAAAATATCAGACACTATGATAGCTCCTTTAAGAAAATATGAACATTTGAAAAATTTGGCAAAAAGAATGGTCTACACTAACTATCCTTGGAACATCGATATTTCCTGAATCTCCCGTTCTTTTGAGCTGAAACTTTCAGTTTACTCCTAAGTCAGATGTATCTATCTACTATATAAATATTAGCCAAATGAATGAGATTGATTGTGCAATTTTATGCTGAAAGTGGTCGTCACTTAGCTGTAGTGACTCCTCGAAACAAGAATTTTCTCATTTTGTATAGATACATAATGGTTCAGAGTGGTTGAGAATGGATCAGAGTAGACAGGAAAAAATGTATTTACTTCTTTTAGTTGTAACTGAAACAACATTCTGAATATGAATATGAAAAAAATCCTCTTAGATCTTCATATGTTTGTTCTATAGAAAACAAATTTTCCGGACAAATAAACTTTTTGTGAAGAATTTCTTTTTGATCTTTCCAGATTATAGAACATATCGGATTGCTTAGAAAACAGTAAAGTTTTCTGTTGAAAATCGTTTTTTGCAGGAAATACAATCATTTTAAGTCAGCCCCGTCAAAAAAAACCGATTTTGAGAATTTTCTGTGATTGGATAGCTCTTGTTGTCTACTTTCGAACACAGCATTATTTATCGCAATTCTGATGCTTTGTTCAAGGTACTGCACAAAATTTACTGGTGATGTTGAAATCAGGAAAAGTTTCTTTTTTGAAAATGCTAGTTATTGCTATCTTTTGAACTTTTTCTAAGATTTTTCATAGTGGCGAATCTAGCGTACAATTTGTGAAATAACAAGCGCTGTAGACTTTTAGATAATTGGATTTGTGCCATGCATTCCTTTTCCTATTACTGTTGATTTAATTATATAAGTATTTTGACAGTGTTATGTCAAAAGAGACGCTTTCTGACATTAACATGGTACAATGATATGAAAGTCGTCGTTTGACCCATCATAGTTGAGAATACATAATAAGCTATGATCGATATGTTTCCTCTACCATTTTACTAAACACAAATATTAATTCGTCATTGTGAACTTTGTTTAACTTTTTTCTCAAAAGGAATCTTTTTTGTTCTACTTATAGGTATCATATTTTTCAGCCTTTTTTTATGTGTTAGAAAGAATTATGCTTAACAACTTAACAGAGCTGAATTTTTTTATTTTCGACTTAGCTCTTGAGAAAAATGGATCTTTTTCCATAGAAATATCTCTATTTTTTCGGAGTTTTCAAAAAAAAACCTGGTCCCAAAAATTATTAAGAAAAAAGTTGACAAATCGGGCTTCGTTTAATTGTAGCGAAAAGTGTTGGCTAACCTTAATATATTTTACTCTGAGATTTTACCTGTAAGCTTTCTATGCTCAAGTTCATCACAAGCATGGGTAAAACTAGTAAAATGACATTAAAATATCTTCAAATTAACACAATTATTATAATTCGAAACGGTTACAATAATGCCGAAAAAATGCGCGTCATTTAATGCGTTTAAATGATTATTTTTGGCTAGATGAAAATGGCTTAAGATGTGACGATATACTGCCTATAAAACAAACTCTTTTTTTTTGGCATTATTTGTGACCATTTCGTATCGTTATAATTATATCGATTTCAAGACATTTGATAATATCATTTTATTACGTCTATCTCTAACATTTCTTTTAATATTCATTTATTCAAACATTTTCCTAACTAAGAGAATGTACAAATTTGTTCTAAATAGAACAATTCATTGTATTTGATTGTGAACTATACGATTACTAACAATCTTTGATAATAGAGGTAAAATTATCCTGATCTTAATGTTGTTTAATTGATGAATATGAAGTTTTTCATACTTGTCTGATGGAATGACTAATCTGACACCAATGATCATTTTTAACTAAGAGATATTAGATTATTATGAATATGTCTGGAATATTCTTTCAGTAGCAAGAAAATATGGAAATGAAATATTCAGAAAAGATCGAACATTTTAGCAAATTGATGTGCAAAATCTCATATCACTATCATCACAAATCCTAAATCATCGAAAAATCTAGATATAAATATATTAAACTATTCATGAAACATATTGGTAAAAAATAGAAAAAAAAAACAAAAAAATATTAGTATGTAGAAGAAATTTATAATAAGATATTGACACAGGATACGACACATATTGCAAATTTGAAGATTATGAGCTACAACTATAAAGAATAGGTATAGCATATATAGTAGGATAGTAACCAAAAGTGATAGAAATTGTAAATCACGAGAGTTAGAATGGAGAGTACAGGTTAAAAAGTAGAAGTATAAGATAGCTATACACAATAAGTGTTTTTAATTTAATTTAATTTATTTTACTTATTATTGGTCAGTTTGATCTATCAGTTCAATGAGCAACAAATATTTTAAAATACATTCACATCTTTTTTTTATTTATTTTAAATCATTCGATCTATTGTTTCAATGAAAAGTATGTATGTATGTATGTATTTTTAATCCTATTATTTCCTTTTTTAAAGTTTTAGATCATCTAATGCAATAGATTCCATTAAAACAAGTGGTATTTTTTTTTATTCAATCTATGTTATTTTAATTGATTTAATCTAATGGATTGAATTAATACTAACTATTTTTCTTATTATTTAATCTGATTATTTGTTATAGGTCAAATACTTTATAGTGTTTGTTTATACAAGTAGAAGAAAAATGGTGACAAAAACGATCATATTTTTCTCGTTTTTGGTCAAAACACGATCATTTATGGGCATATACGAAGTGTATATGAGAAATATACGGTCGTTTAAAATCCTATCTGGAATTCATAACCATCAATCTGGTTTATGTCTAGTATATAGGTATAAACAAATATCTAATTTTTTCTACTAACAATGAAGACTTCTTTATCTCTATTTTATCAAGTAACCGTAATGTAAAACATAGAAAAGTTGTCAGTCAGGGATGTCTTTGTTATAGTATCAATTATATGTTGTATTTCTTTTCTTCTTTTTTTTGTTCTGCTATCGTACATAGATGGCATTTACGATATATATATATAGCTTTTTTTAATTTTATTTTCTTCTCTTTTCTTGATATAGTACAGATATTTTCCATCTCATCAAGTATTCTTCCAAGTGTCCTAAGGTTTTCTCCTAGTTCGTTCATCTATATGTGTTGCTCGTTTCAAAATAAAAGGCATATCTGACCATTTTTTGAATAACTTTCTTTCAATATAAGATATAGAGCTGCGATTTTCATCATTTGAAAGAGTAATGACTGGATCATCAATCTGTATAAAACTCATTAAGGCAAAAGATTCTTTTTCGATGAAAAACAATCTTTCGCCTTGATGAGTTTCATACAGATCGATGGTCCAAGCATTGCTCTTTCAAATGATGAAAATCGCAGCTCTATATCTTATACTGAAAGAAAGTTATTCAAAAAATGGTCAGATGCCTTTTATTTTGACGCTGGCAGTGGTTATTATTTGAAAATTAAACATGAAGATTTTATTATTGATCTGTTAGACCAACTCGGTCTCCTATTAGGAGTCCAAATTTTGTTTTTTTTTTCCTAAAATTTCAATAATACATCGGAGTAATATGACATTTTTTTTATCAGATATGCATTTCACGTAAAATTAGTAAATACCAACATCTAGAACCCTGTAGATTGATAGAAGCAATATGTCTCAAATATTTTCTGAACACAATATAGTTGAAGATATTTCGTTTAGGCTTTGTTCCTTTAACTAAATTCGTTATCTTCTTACAATCCTCCATAGGTTCTTTATAGATACGACCCCAAAATAACATCATTTTTGATATATGGATTGATGTTTTCACTAGCAACACTTGCTAATAAAACTCATTTCATAATACTTCATTTTATTTCAGATGTTCAAAAGTAGAATTTAGTTATGAGAACAAAGTTTAAACGAAATATCTTGAACTATGTTATGAAAAAATACCAGAAACAAAAATTATTTATTTATAGTATTATTCAGATATCTTCATGATTTTAAATCACATTCAACTTGTAACAATAGTTTTATAGGTTTTTTTTGTTGTTTCGTTGCGTTTCATATTAAATGTGAAATCTGTCTTTCTATCTAAACTTAGAAAATTAAAATCGAAAGAATTTCTATTAACAAATTTCAATAATTACTGAATTGCACTCTATCAGTTGTTAACAGTTTAAGATAAAAAATCATTTTCCTTTTTCTTTTTTTTTTTTTTGTTAAAGTCAATATTCGACAAAATTGTAAGGTACCGTAATTCAAAATTCAAGTTGAATCTTTTTAGCTTTTTTATATATACGTAGGTTTTTAAAACATGAGCTCCTGATCGCAAAAAACTAATTTCTGACACTTACGAACATTCTTTTATAGTGGAAAAAAACTTAAAAAAGGGTAATAACGATGTTCAATCAGTTTTAGTTCAAAAGATGCGTTACTAGTGAAACACCTTCTCGTTTTGTTCTAGACTACTAATGAGTTATTTTTTTTTGTAAACTAACAAGTTTTTCTGTGTAAGTAATGAAGTTAGTTCGTTCAATTCATCGTAGCATGCATCACAAAAGTATGTATTGATTTTTTTTCTTTTCTTTTTGTTGTCGCAAGAAATCATTTTTATTGAATTTGGGCCCAATAACTAGAATTGTGTCTATAGTTTTCATTTTTCTTCTTCAAAATCAAGTTTTTATGTAGCAAAATTGTTATATTCGGAAGTAGCGTGAAAATTTGAGTCGATTGATGTAGGTCTCAACTGGTTTCCATGATTTGAGTTTAGTTTTTCGATGTTTTATCTGAATGATAATCAAAAAACAAAATGAAAGCTTAGAAAACTTTGAAAAGCTATATCAATCGACTAAAAATTTCACGCTACTTCCGAATATAACAATTTTGTTACATAAAAACTTGATTTTGAAGAAGAAAAATGAGAACTACGAGCACAATTCTAGTTATTGGACTCAAATTCAGTAAAAACGATTTCTCGCGATCACGAAAAGAAAAAGAAAAAAAAATCAAGACACACTTTTGTGATGCATGCTACGATGAATTGAAAGAATTAACTTCATCATTTATACAAGAAAAACTTGTTAGTTTACAAAAAATTACTCATCAGCTGTCTAGAACAAGAGGAGATGTAAAAAAATATTTGCAGAAGCTATCAAGTAGAGTGAAGCAAAGAAATTATAATTTTAAAAATATTTTTTTTTATGAAAAAACATACCACTTAATTTTCTGAATTTTTCCGCTAGAAACAAATGTTCTTAAATATTAGAAATTAGTTGTTCACAATCAGGATCTCATGCTTTAACAAACTATGTATAAAGAATGCAGAAAAAAACGACTTGAATTTTGAATTATGTTCGCTTGATAAATGAGTCATTAAGAGAGAAGAATAGCTGATAAACTAGATAATTCGTCAAAAAAAAAATGTATTTTTGCAGTCCGTTATATTATGTAATTTTATTTTATAACATAACTTCAATCTATTTTTCTATACACAAGTTCATAAATATTTTATTTAATTGTCTGCAAGAAAAATGAACATGAGTAATAGATTCAGTATTCACATTATTGTTTATGAATGAATTAGTAGTGAAAAACTTGTATGAATGCTCGCAAGTAGTGCTCACATGATAAGTATTTTAATTAGCTTTGTAGTTCCTTATAGAGTCCTGTTAATTCAATATAAGATTGGAAAAATAACTTTCGAATTTATTTCGTTTGAATATAAGCGTAGCTTGAATAGTTTTTCTATAAATATGCAATGTGAAGTTATCATTTCTTTTTTTCAAACATGAATCTATTTTGATAATATTCGAACAATGTCATGTAGATTTTTTTTTCCGTCAACAGATAAAATTTACAGTAAAAGATCTAGCATTTATTATTCGCAATGCAACAATGATATCAACAGCAGCTGTAACTCTCAATTTTATTTCATTCATTGGAACTATATTTATCGGTGTCATATGCATACTTATGCTTAGCATACTTTTACCATCAATTATACGCAAGCATGATTTAGTTTTAATTTTAGTTGCTAATAATTATTTAGCATTATTAGTCTTTGCACTTGTAGCTATACCAAGCAATTTTGATCTGGTTCGAGGTGATTATAATTTGTATATTGGTATGGAAACACTTAGTTGTCGTATTAGAGGATATGTGATTTATTCATCTCTGGCTATTATTTTTCATTGCTTTCTATTACAGGTAAAATTTTAAAATAAAGCTTGATTGTCTTTTGAAAGTCTATCAAGCAGAGAATTTTTCACTTAATAACGGAGTATAAATATCAGTGGAAGAATATGTTATCATATTAGATCATATTGCCAACTTCTAAAACTCAGAAATTTTTTTTCACTAAAAATCAAACACTTCTTAAAAAGTTCTTGCAATTTCATCATCATGAAACATCAATTTTCTATTTTCATTTAACCCTTTACCCCCTCCCCCCCCCTTGGTCACTGGAATGACCATTTGTAGAACGATTGCAGAAAATAAAGGAAGCATAGAATTCAAAACCTCTAAGAGCACTATTTGTAGTAAACTTCATGAGCTATCGACTAGTAAAAAAAAAGATTTTTTTCGCTGTGCTAGTGCCGAGATATACAACTTATAAAATCGATGATTTTCAAAAAAAGTAAAAAATGGAATTTTTTTGGTAAAATTCTTTTTCTACCTCTAGGCAATATATATCTTGGCGACGTATTGGGTGATTTACATCAAAGAAAGTGTCCACTAATAGATTATATAAGTTTCAAAAATTTGAAAAGCATTAGGTAGGAAAGATGTGGTAAAGCATCGAATGGTCACTGAAGGACTTCCAGAAAATCAACCCTTAGCTTTTGGCCGTCTACAATCCGAAAATAAAGTTTTGTTTAAACTACGTAAAATTATAGAGTGAACAATTCTCTACAAAATAAGACATCCACGAGCTCTCTACGACGTTTTTTGGCCGAACTCCGTCGGTATTATGGAAAGTTCAGGAAATTTTTTCCAAATCGATCCCCCTACTCCCCCTCAACAAACTACCCTAAAACTCAAATGTGCGTTCGATCGATCTGACCGTACTTTTAGCATATTGGAGGCACCAATACTCTATTCCAATGGCTGTTTCATCAATAGCTCTTCTGGAACCTCTATGGTGGGTAAAGGGTTAACTTTTTATATCAGAAGTGGAATGAAAAACCATGTATAATAGTACTCTTTTCAATGATGTATCGAAAGTTAAACTTATTTTTGGTTTTTATTATAAAATATAGCTATTCTTTGAAAAAGATTGTATAACTTGGTCGCTCTTACTAACTGACCGTTTTGCAACGGTAAAAAAATATTTTTTTGAGTTATTTTTTCCTGCTAACTATTCATGATCTGACATGTTTCGAACAAATAGCGCAGAAAGAGTTCAGTTCATGCGTGGATTCTGGAGATTATCGTTGATATCCTTCTAAACTGATCGTTCTTGCAAAACTCTATTTAATAAAAAAAAAGTCAATTTCCAGGGTTTTTTTGTGGAATAAAAAATTAGTAATGGATCTAAAGGAATTTACTACAACTGACAATAATTGAGTTTTTGATGTACTACACTTGAGTAATTTT